GATGTCTCTCTCACCATTGGGGAAGCTGGCCTAGCTAATTCTGTCGTGATTCAGAAATTCTAAGTCATTTTGGTTTGTAATTCTGAAAATAATTGTTTTATGAGACTCGAATTTATTCTACAATGTTGCGTTTATTTTGCTGAAAACTCTTGTTTTTCAGTGCTTTCTATGGTGAAAAAATGGAATTGAAATATGCTATCATGTTGTTATTTGTTTCTTTTTTTGTTTTCTTTGTTAGATTAAGTTTGGGAAATTTGATTTTATATGACTCATAATGTGACTGTTTGGTTAAAATATATTTATACTATGTTTAGTTTAGCTGGAAAAATATTGGTATAAACTTTATTGAGGGTGATTTCCATTCAAAATGATTTTTTTTTTTCAAGAAATATCAAATGAGAATATGTGACATTTTTTTTTGTTTTTATTTTACTCTTATTTGGTTTTATCTTTAATTTGTAGGTGATGAACTTTGTTAGAAGTTGTATTCGTCTAAAAAGGTTTTTTTTTTAACTGTCGAATTGCCCAATTGTCGAGTTATTGAGCTATTGAATTGCTCAACTGACCAGACACCTAATTGCCCTGCTATTGAATTGTTGAATTTTCTAGCTGTTGAATCGTCGAACTATTCAGTTGTTGAACTGTCCAACTGTCGAATTGTCGAGCTGTCCAGCTGTCAAACTGTTAAATTTTAAGCAGTTGAATTGTCAAATTTAATTATATTGCAGTGCATGATATAAAACTGCATGATACAATACACGAGATTTATCAAAAGCACACGAGATTTATAAAAAATGTCAAATGTAAAAACAGAAAAAAAAAAGGAAAATGAGAGCTGCTTTTGTGTTTATTTATCTATCTACTGCCGGATACTAGTAGAATTTCGGCATAGCTCACCAACAATAAGAAAACATACATCTTAAAGGGATTCATAAAAAAAATTTTATATCATTAATATAGTTTTGATTAGTTTTATTGCTAAAATTTCAATATTTTAATATTTATTCTTCCACAAATCTTGTATCAAGAAGCTTTACGTGTACAGTTAAAAATACAAGGATTGTTCCAGGGCCATCTTAATGTAGTGGTTGTAATGCTCTACCTTAAACTTTAAACTTTAAATCCTCTAAACGATATTTAATTGTGATAAAAGTAGAGAGCTCAAATCAACCAAAGATGTGATGAAAGGTCTGTTGGATTTTAGCTTATTAAAATGCATTTTGAGTCCAAAAGGCGTTTCAACTGTTTGGTTGCACATTAAACACGAACGGTGCGTTCACAATACCACGCAAATTCACGAATTTGTGGAAGCCGCTCCCTCATTGCATTCCCTACATCCATAATTTTGAATTTCATGGATTTCTATTTTGATGGCTGTCCCGCGTATTGCAAATTGCTCGTATCTTTATTATTATTTATTTATTTATTTTATACTGCTCGGCTTGCTATTAATTATAAAATTCTTTTTTTTTTTTTTGGCATAACTCATGTTAATTACACACATACCACATGTAACGACTGTCACTGTAGTATATTGGGACACTTGTTGAGATTTGATTTTGTGATATTGTAAATCTTTCATATTTATTTTATGTTATTGAAGTTTTTGATATTTAATTTAGTTGTCGATTTTTAATAGTTTTGTTTCATGCTCAATTTATTAAACATCTTTGTTAGATTGCAGAGCAAACTTGAATATACATTAAACATATTTTTACATATTTTTATGGGCATCATAAATAAGAAAAAGAAATGTTTCTTGCTGAATTTGTCTTCCTTAAAGATTCGGTACATCACTGTGCAAGTGAGTTTTATGGAATCATCTCGTGTCTGTTTCACAAACTGTTTTCACCATTGTGTTATGGACATATTGTTCTATTTAGTTGACTATTTTTTTCATAATTTTTGGAGTTATATATTTCAAGGTGTGAAAAGATTTATATATAGTTTATATTTAATAATATAACAAATTCTAAAATTACTTTTATATCATTTTTTCTTAAGAAAAACATTCATAAATATCAAGTTTCACTTAAGGAATTCATTTCATGCTATTTTTATCACTCAATTCTTTTATATTATTACTATTTTAATTTTTAAAAGTGAATTTCATAATGTCATGCATGAATAAGATGATATAGATGTAAACAATAAAAATAATGTCATGCATGAATAAGATGATATAGATGTAAAAAATAAAAAAAAAATAGTTATTAGATATATGAATACATAAGAATTGAGTGATATGAATGTAATTCTTTATTTTCTATATAGATAATAATTGAATAAACAAATAAACAAAGTCTTATCTTTTTTACATATTTGCCACCTAAAGCTTACATTTTATATTTTTATTGATCATATGTTTTATATCACATCAATTATGTCATTATTTTGATTTTTAAAGGCCAAATAAACATTTTCATGCAGATGTAAAGATTATGTGCATGTAAAAATTGGAGTTTAAATGTAAGATATGTAGATACGTAAGAATTTAGTGGTATGTTTAGAATAGTGGTATGCATGTAAAATCTTTATTTGCTATTTAGCGAGGTTTTTGGGCTTTGGAGCGCTTCCCAATCGGTCCTCCGGGACTCAGCATTGCATGCGCGGCGCACGTGTTATCGCCGTCCTTCGTACGATCGTGTCGAGCTTCCTAAAATTCGGACCCTCTGAAATTCATGACCCCAATCTCTCATTTTCTCCGATCGCTCCGACTTCGTAACTCGCGCTGCAATCGCCGGAAAGCCGCCGCGCCACCTCTGCGATACAGTCTTTCTGCTTCATTCAACTTTCTCCGGACGGCGGGAAGATGCCGCGAATCGATGATCGGCGGTGAGAGTGATCTCTTCTTCGATCGACGTTTTGTATGGTAAATATGATCAAACAGATATTCGGCAAGCTCCCGCGCAAACCCTCTTCCAAATCGTCCTCTAGCGACTCCCTTTCCGACGGAGTGATCGGCAGATCTGCGCCGGGTAGGAAGGACGGTTTCATTGGCTCCGCTGCCGCGCCGCAGTCTGGGCTAGTCAACGGTGTTGTGGTTCTAGCGGCGGTGTACGAG